GCAATTGAAGAACCCGTGTTCCGTGGGCACATGCATCAACGATGGCAAGGGCTCCTACTCCTGTATCTGCCCTCCCGACTACATCCCCAGCCAAACCGTTGATGGCTTCCCCACCTGCGACCCAGGTATGGTTGACCTAGGTGTTGCCCCTTCCGCATTCCTGCAGCTTGCACAAGGATCTCTCTTGACCCCACTCTTTGGTACACTCTCTGACTTTTGAGTCGGCTAAAAAGTCACCTCCCCACCTGCGACCCAGGTACGGTTGACCTAGCCACCCCGATGCACTCACTCCTCTTAGCAACAATCCCTTCCGTGTGTGATGAGTCGATTTTTGAGTCGACTCAAAAATCGTCTCTAGTACACTGGGAGCTAGCCCACCTTCCCCATGCACGCAAAAATCGTCTCTTCCCCACCTCCCTCCCTCCGGCGCACATTCCTTGCGTTCTCCTTCCCTCTCCGTCACTCGCTCCTCTCTATCCAGCCGGCAGCTTAGCCACCAGCTTGGCAGTGAGTGGCAGCAACTGGGGCTGCGCTGACGTTCATCCCCTCATGGGCCTCACGCTCACCCAGTTCACGCAGCGAAACAAGGTAAGCAAGCAGTGAATCGCACACATGCGAAGTTGTTGTGAGGTTAGTTGGTGTAGGGCCTCACTCTCGCCCAGTTCACGCAGCAAAACAAGGTAAGGCTCACCTGTAAGCAAGCAAGCACACATGGGAAGTTGTTGTGAGGTGAGTTTCTGTGGGGCCTCACTCTCGCCCGGTTCGCGCAGCAAAACCCGGTAAGTCGTGAATTGCACACAAGAGAAGCAAGGAGGGTGAAAATGATGGGTGGTGGTTACTGGCTCTTTGAAAGAGTTGGCAGCTGCTGTTCTGTTTTTTTTTTTACACTTTTAGCGCATTGATATCAAGTTGTGGCTACAGGTGTGCACAAGGGATGCTCTTTTTCCGTATAAGGGGGAACTTGGGGGACAGGACAGTAGGGAGAAAGGACATTATGTGCACGGCAATCTTCTGAGTGAGCAGCCGTGCATAGCTTGTTTGGAATGCCATGGTTACGCAGTATGCTTGCATTGAAAGCCTCAGTCTTGTGTCATGTATTTGCACGTTGCAGGCTCTTGACTGCTCAAAGCCTCTGAAGTTGAATGCGGTGCTCCAGCTTGCTGGTTCTCCTGCCGTCCCCTGCACTGCCTTCTTCTACGTGCTTGCGGTGAGCTTTCGAGTTCGCATTGAGTCGACATTAATGTTGGATATTCAGATACATTACTGGTTGCTATGCGCATCACATCCCGTGTAACCATTTTGCATCCTGAACGTGGCGATAAATAAGCCATGTCTCAACTCCTCTCTCCATTTGTTGAACCCTCCAGGGCGACACATGTGATTCCATCGCCTCCTACCTCAGACGCAACATTGACGACCTCCTGAGCCTCAACCCCGGGCTGAGCTGCGAGCAGGGCATCAAGGCGGGCCGCTCCGTGTGCGTTGAGCGCAACCCCTCATTCGCCTTCACCGTCCCACAGTGTCTCAAATACACCACGCTCACAGCAGAGGAGTCGTGCGAGGTTCTTCTGGATAGGGCAGGCGGATATAAGGGCGTGGGGGCATCTGCTTGGGATGAGCTCTACCGCAACAACCCCGGCCTTGTCTGCTCCGGCGCCCTCCCTCCCTCTGCCTCGGCTGCTGGCAGCAAGGCTGGCTTGCAGGTGAGCGGTGGGAGGGGTGGTTAGGGACTGGTGGAGTGGGGTCAAAGTGGGAGAGCCAGGTGGAGAGTTGAATTGCTGAGTCAAGGGACTGGTGAGTTGGGGGCTGAATCTGTAGGTTTGCACATGTGAATTTGTAATGCTAAGATCTTGAAAGCTCAAACTCTCCCAAGTGTGATTCCTCCTTGGAACTGCACATGCCGTCTTAACGATTCATGTCATCGTAATTGGCGGTTTGGTATCCCACTCTCGTGAGCTTCCGTGTCTCGCATAATTGTGAGGATGAATTCCCCTGTCTCATATGGCGTTTGCCTTCAACGCTTTGAAGCTGTGGTGACGTCATTTTGCACCCGCTTGGTTCTTACAGGTGTAACTGACCCAATCTTTGAGATCCCAGGGTTAAACGGCAACGTGGGCTACTGCCGTAGTGGCCATTCTAATGTTTTTTACATCTGATCTCGCGTGGTTTTTTTTTTACATAGTGCCATCCAGAATCTTGCTTTGTCAAACTTCACATCGCCTGTCATTCTCTCTCCTCTCCCTTTCTGGCTCCTTTCCCCTTCCTCTCCTCCCACTACGTCTTTCTACCCGAGGTGTGCCTCAAGGCGGAGTACTGGCCATTTACACTTGGAAGGTGCATCAAGGGCCGGGCCAAGTCGGTGTCACCATCGCTGTCATGTTCAGGCGCTTACACCTTCTATGGCGGCGCATCAAGCGCTGCAGCTGCCAAATTCTCGGAGTACAACGGGAAAGCCTGTGCGAGCAACGTTGGATCCAAGTACATTTGTGTGCCACGCTAGTAGGTATCCTGATAATCCTGTGAACACTCTCGGGTGGTGTACCCCATCAAGGGGTGTTCTTGCACAAATTCTTGCTGCAAGCAGTTTAGGGTGTGTGTGTGTCGAAACCTTGTTTACATAAACTGCTTATACCATGGACTAGTGTAGTTATCTGTGTTTTTTAGAGCTGTTCATGGTGCACCGTTGTCTGGAGCTGGTCCTTGTCTGTATTTCTTTCCCTCCCCATTCTAAGGGCGTGTTCCTGCACCTCTTACCGTATCAGAAACCTGCTTGTTAGACTTTCATAGTACAGCGATTTTCGCTTTGAGTGTCTCAGTGCAGTTAGATGCGAGCCTGATAGAGGTTAGCCTCCATAAGGGATGTTGGAACATGCCTTAACCGAAACCCCTTGTCCTTTTTGCTCTCGTAACTCTCTAGCTTGCTACTCTCTTAGACACTATTTCGACAAAAGCATATATTCTAGCTGCTTTACTTAATCTTTTTACTTGGAGGAAAACATTGTGAGAAAATGCACCTGTAGAAGCGAGGGTGATAAGAGCCGAACGGAAGCACCATACCTTGATGGACACTTTTGTCAGAGGTCCACTGGAGATCCCTGATGATCCTAGGGAAGGGTTACAGGCACGTCGGCTTGGGGGGTTATGGGCGCACTCACCCGCTATATAAACAAGCCCTTTTATCCCAATGGTTAGTGGTTGGGATTCTGACATGGTATCAGAGCGAAGGTCTCGGGTTCGATTCCCGGTGTGTGCACTTCGGGCATCCCAGTGCGGGGGGGTGTCAGAGGTCCACTGGAGATCCCTGATGATCCGAGGGATGGGTTACAGGCACGTCAGCCTGGGGGGTTATGGGCGCACTCACCCGCTATATAAACAAGCCCTTTTATCCCAATGGTTAGTGGTTGGGATTCTGACAACTTTGAGGTGCTAAATAATCGGAGGTTGTCAAGATAGGTGCTATAGCTTAGGAACCATAGTGGCTAGGATCAGGGCTCTGGTTATCAGACAAATTTTGTTTGATAGTCTGAAAATCAGACACGATTTTTTAAGTTCGTATGATTTTACAGACCAACTAATAGTGCTCATATGATTTTGCAGACTGAGCATTTTTTTCCATATGAAAATACAGACTAAGAATTTATAGCTTGTCTGAGTACTCAGACAGCGAGTACATTTCTGTCTGGAACAGACAAGTTCCGAACACCTGACATTTGGACTTTCGCTTAACAATTGACGAGAAAGTTTACTCTAAACATCTTCTTGCCAGGTGTTGCCTATCCTTGACAATTTCGATGTTTGTCGTGGGGTGCAGAGTTCGATTCCTGGCGTTGCAAAGTGCTTCCGAACTTGTCAGGGATTGTAACATTACGTACTTTTTATAGAAGTGCATATGATTTAGACAAGGGCCATTGTTTCGTTTGAGAATTCAGACCACTCGAGGTAGCTCATATTTCGTTCAGACGATTGTTTTTTTACTACTTTAGATTCAGACGGCCCAAAATCCTAGCCAGAGCTCTGGCTAGGATTAGAGAGGGGCTTGACCAAAGAAGAGGGTTTGCAATATGGAGAGAGGTACAAGATATACCGTAATCACCCCAGAAATACCACCCTAGGGTGTTATGATAACTATAGCAAAAAAAGAAAAGGTCTACTCATCTGAAGAAGCTACATAACACCCGAGTCTTTTTATATGACATCTTTTAGTGTAAGGATTTTGATGCAAAGACAACTTGGGTGTTTTCAGAATTGGTTTAACATCACAGCTAGATGCGGGAATGTGGGTTTCGACGAGAACCTTTTCGCCCCTCTTAAAATTGCCAGCGGGCACCTTTTTTACCACTTGTTAGAGAACTATCTACCAGCGTGGCAGCAGCGTAAAAGAGGGAGGGGGGTGATTTCTCAGATTCTTTCGAAATTACCATGTAGTTTTATCGAGGAAGTGAGTTCCGCAATGTTCAGCAGTACTCGCTAGCAGCTAAAATTAGAAACTTTGTAAGAAAGGGGGGTTTTATAGAGAAAATCACCCCAAAAGGGGGGTATAGTAGAAACGAGGTCCGCTATAGCACCCACCCCGCACAAGCCACCCGGGGGGTCTTCAATTTCGGCGGGTGGTATGTCCGGATGATTACGGTAAGAAAGGCGGCAAAAGGGGGGTATACCACCAAGGCCCTACACTAGTAGCTATAAATGCAAAGGGTTTGCCATATGGAGAGAGGTACAAGATATAAGAATGGTGGCAAAGGGGGGTATACCACCATGGCCCTACACTACTAGCTATAAATCAAATTATACAAGAATAATATATATTCTAACAGAGGTGTGTATAAATGGAGAGGGGGAAGGGGGGGGGGGGGAGAGGGTGTCAGAACTAGCTGTAGAAAGTAAGAATGAAGAAAGGAGAGGGTTTGCACTAGCAACAATGGTGGTACAAATAGCTAACCCTAGAAGGGTTGTACTCGCTATAGAGCACCCCACTGCAGGCTAGAGCATAATATTCTGACACACCCCCATAGTCAAAGTGGGGTGTAATCAGCAGAGCAAGCAAAGTAGTACAAGCTCAGGGTGGATCACGATGTCACCACACATTCTGAGCACAAGCAAGAAGCAATAGTTTAAAGTTCACAGTTATGAGCAAAGCTAGAGGCAGTCACAGGGGGCAAGTGAGGAGGAGGAGGGCTGGTGAGAGGAGAGTAGATAGGAGGCGACGACTGAAGATGCAGACACACGGGCAACAGACGGCTCTGGTGCGACAACGTGGCTACCGGGAATGAGTGCCCCGGAGTACAGGAGTAACAGGCTCCGCGGCTAATATGCGCGGCAGGAGCAACGGACCCACAGGCGACGGCGCAACCGGCTCTCTGAGCTACCGGGAATGAGTGCCCCGGAGTACAGGCGCTGCGTACGACACGACGGCAACCTCCGCTCAACCTCCCCCAACAGTCCCACCCCTCGACACACACCCCCTGCTGCGCCCCTAGCTCCACTCCCCCTTCACCCCCCTAGGACCACTCCTTCGGCTCCCCACACAACCACCCCCCTGAGCGGCAGCTGCAGCAGCGGGAGACGGAGGAGGAGGAGAAGGAGGGGACGGGGCACACAACCGGCACCCCCACACCCGCCACCCCCACACTCCACATCCCCAAACCCTAAAACGGGTGGGATAGGGGCAGGAGCGCGGGGGACGGCGAGAGGGGACGGACGAGGCGCGCGCACTAGCAACAATGGTGGTACAAATAGCTAACCCTAGAAGGGTTGTACTCGCTATAGAGCACCCCACTGCAGGCTAGAGCATAATATTCTGACAGAGGGAAGGGGGGAGGATGTCGGTATTCACTTCAATATGTAGGGAAATTTGTGTTGACAGGATATTCAAGAAACCTACGGTACTAGCGTGGCACACAAATGTACTTGGATCCAACGTTTCTCGCACATGCTTTCTCGTTGTACTCTGAGAATTCGACAGCTGCAGCGCTTGATGCGCCGCCATAGAAGGTGTAAGCGCCTGAATGTGACAGCGATGGCGACACCGACTTGGCCCGGCCCTTGGTGCACCTTCCAAGTGTGAATGGCCAGTACTCCGCCTTGAGGCACACCTGGGGTAGAAAGACGTGGTGGGAGGAGAGGAAGGGAAAGGGGCCAGAAGGAGAGTGGAGAGAGAATAAGAGGCGGTGTGAAGTTTGACAAAAGCAAGATGTTGTGCACACGTGCAGATTCGGGCCCCCAGTCCCAGTCCCTTTACTATGCAATTTAACTCTCCACCAGTCCAAATCACCCCTCCTACCACTCACCTGCAATCCAGCCTTGCTGCCAGCAGCAGAGGCAGAGGGAGGGAGGGCGCTGGAGCAGACAAGGCCGGGGTTGTTGCGGTAGAGCTCATCCCAAGCAGATGCCCCCACGCCCTTATATCCTCCTGCCCTATCCAGAAGGAACTCGCACGATTCCTCTGCTGTGAGCGTGGTGAACTTGAGGCACTGTGGGACGGTGAAGGCAAAGGTGGCGCTGCACTCGACGCACACGGAGTGGCCCACCTTGATGCCCTGCTCGCAGCTCAGCCTGGTGTTGAGGCTGAGGAGGTAGGAGGTAGGAGGAATCACATGTGTCGCCCTGGAGGGTTCAACAAAGGAAGAGAGGACTTGAGAGACGGCTCATACATTGCTCCGTTCAAGATGCAAATGGGTGCAAGGGATGTGACGCGGACAGCCACCTTGCCTGTGTGGAGATAACTATTACAACGGGAGCTAGACTACGGGCTAGGCACGGATGCTCGTGTGATCTCTGCGTTCGTTCCTTAGTCGTTTACTTGTGCTTGCATTGCTTGCTAGTTCACATGGATATTTGGCAAGAGTTTCAAAGCAAAAGTTCACAACAATGATAGCAACAACATCGGCATGCAAGACTACATTAGACCTAGCAAAGCTGCTCGTCGACTGCCAGCGCAGCATGGTTGACAGTGTGCCAGCATGACTTGGTCGACCGCGCTCCAGCAGAGCAGAGTCGCGGCTTGCCAACGTTGCAAGTCCGTGGTGTGCCAATACTGCACCAAGTCGGCTGCACAGCGTTGCACCCGCCTGACAACGGTGCACCAGCTTCGCAGGTGCGTGCAGCTGGTTGGCGCCCAACGTCCCGTCACATGCCCAGCGCAGACACTCCACCCGTGACGGCGCCCACCAGCCACGTCGACCTCGAGATACCACCCCCCGAGGTCGTCATCGCAGAAACCACCCCTACGACCTTCGCACACGTCGCCCGGGTATCCTGGTCGACTAGGAAACCAGGACGACACCACCAAGTCGGTGGTGTTGTCCCCGCGGCCCCCGCGGCCCCTGCACCCCCGCGCCCCTCGCCCCCCCCCTCGTCCCCCGCGGCCCTTCGGTCCCGCGGTCCCACGGTCGTCCCCCCTGGCCCCCGCGGCACCCGTGGTCCCGCAGTCCCGCGGTCGTCCCCCGCTGCCCCCCGCGGTCCCGCGGTCCCGTGGTCGTCCCCCGCGGCATCCGCGGCCCT